GACCTCAGTCCATAATTCCAAGAATTTAAGATTATGCTTCTTAATGTAGCCAAGGATTCAGAAGTAGAACACTGAGTACCAATATGAGAAGCACATTGTTAGGAACTCTTGAAGAAGGCAGAGAAGAGTCAAGACAAACCACTGTTTACACATACTGAATTCAAGAACTATTCCTTCTGAATATAATATTACCAAACTTTTAACTAATCTGAGACACCGAATTTACCTCTAGGAAGGAAACTGCATATTTAAACAAATTTAAGTAAAAAACAGTGCCATTAAGATGCAAATTTATTTAAAATTCTGAAATTTAATTTTGATTCTACCTGAGGCAGGTTCCCATGAATCAGAAGAGGATCTTTTTCTTGAAAGAGGTCCATTTTCCTATTAGCAAAATGAGAAAAAAATAATTAGGAGTTGGGAGCAGTCAAGAATGTGAACTTTTCTTCATAATTTTTAAACACAGATTTCTAGACTGAATAAAGCAAGCACCAAATTTGGAGGTAAACCCAAACTTCTATAATAAAATATTTTAAATTCTTAAGTCTTTTCATAAAAATGAAGTACATTTGTATCATATGTAAAATGTCAGTTTTCATAATGTAAACTTAGAAATTTTTATTAATAGCTCAAGATTAATATTAGAGCACTTTACTGTACTATTATTTTAATAAAGAAATAGCCTAATATTTGCCTATCAAATGGCTACAACTCTTCAATACTTCTGTTTAGGTACTGATACACCACCAAACACTGAAATGTTATGAAAATGGACCAAATGTTACTAACTTCTATTGATCATTAGCAAATCTCACTGGTAAAGGCACCAAATTCCTTGCAAACAAACCCATGAGTTTACAAATATAATTTTCCAGCAGTATAAAATACAACTCCATTCACCCTTAGAATGTCATAGTTTGGTTTATTTTTGGTCCATCTGGTTTTAAAATCTCATAGTATCTTATCAACATAGCACTTTCTTGATATCTCATCTTCCTTTAGTTGCTCTGTATGTAGAGAAGCTTTCTGAAACAGATGTACTTAACAACTTGACTTTCCAGGGGACAGGAACAGCTTTTATGCTAATTCTCAAAACAGAAGTTGGATGAGCTTAAGATGTATCTGGATAGTTTTCATCATATTCTAAATTTTCTAAGACCCATACTCAACTACTTAAGACATATAACCTAAACCAGTGATTTTCAAACTTTAAAGTGCAGCAGAATAATGTGGAAGGCTTGTTAATTGCAGATTGCTGGACTCTACTTCAGTTTCTGGTTCATTGGGTTTGGAGTGGGGCCTGAGAATCTGCATTTCTAACAAGTTCCTAGGTGATGCTGATGTTGCTAGTCCAAGGAACATTCTGAGAACCTCTGTTCTAAACCATTTCCTGTTGTTTTAGATTTTCCATTCCCTCAAGAATCTCCCTTCAGTGTAGCCTAACTTAAAAATGACTGTCCTTGCCTAAAAAAAAATGCTTACTTTCCTGATTAAGAAAGATCTTTGTACCTGGTCTGAAAAAAATTATGGGCAAAAAACAATGCTTCACTAAGTTTGACGGACAGTTGGAGGGAATTTAATGAAACTAGCTTCTATACAAACTGTGTATCAGTATTTCCCTAACAAAAGGTACCAAATTGTTTCTTAACAATTATCAAACATTTTTAGATTTAGTATTCTAAATATGATAAAATAGTAGCCAAGCTAATTCAGCATTTATTGCACATACCAGGTTTGAAAGATTACTATTTCCGGCTGTGACATCATTCTGTTTACTCTGTTCCTGCCTTGGTTTGCATCTTCTTCCTATACTAGAGGATTTTAAGGAAAGAGTGCTTGCTGCTGTGAAAGAATTTTCTGAGTTGATTCTCTGCTCCATTTGTTCCCTTCTCAACCTCTTTAGTTCTCTTTCTCTGCAGTAAGAAGCTAGAGACGACTGGAACTTAGCTCCCAGTGGGCTTTCTCCTGGGTGGTGCCTGGATAGGCTGCTCCTGCTGCTAAGACTTCTGGAGCTGTTCTTGAAGATGTCAGCTTCTGTCACCGTGGCCTGCTTTTTAGAATCTGCACTGATTTTGCCTCGATCTCCATCATTCTTCTCCCTGCTACTTTCATGAATGAAATGTGACTTCCTTCCCTCTGGAGACTGATGCTTTTTCTTCGTCTCTTTTGACAAGAGATATGAAGGAGGAACGTATTTTGTAACTGCCTTTGGACATTTGGTGGCCAGTGACACACAAGGCTGACGTGACTCATGTACACCATGATCTCTATGGTGCTCTTTAACACCTTTCATGAATGCCTCTAAGACGGGGCTCTTTTCTGATGGCACACTTTTGGGTTTAGATCTTTTTGGTGAGGATAGTTTCCTTTCAAACTGCTCTGTCCCACTGATGGACAATCCACTTTCTCCATATTTGAAGTTCGATTTTTGTGGAGAATCCAACATATGTCTATCTAAATAGCCAATTAAAACACATACACATTGTATGTTATTAAAAATAGCACAAACTATTACATTTGTATATTTATTATAAATTATTATACTTAAAATATTAAGCTATCACAAAAGTTTTCAAATTGATAATTAAATGATACACATATTACTGGGGGGGGAATTTAAGACATTATTTAATAGCCTTACTTTCACAAATCTCCCTTTTGTTACATCATGTAAGCTCCCTATAGCTTCACTTATGAAATAAGTTACTTTAATACAGAATCGAAATAGTATACATTATGAACATGATTAACTGGAATATTTTCAATTAAGAAAGCATAACAGCAAAAAGTTTCTTCATGATGTTTAGAACTTATCTTTGTAAACAACACTGCATCTTCTTTATATTTTCTATATTGAACACCATGTTTAATCAAATTAATGAGTTTAGAGTAGATTTAAAAATTGATTCCATCTTCCTCCCCAAAAGATCCCACAAAAAATGCATTAACAGTATACATACCTTGTTTTGAAGCTGGTTTGAAGAAATCTATAATTGACTGTTTCCTGAAAATAAAAGCATAACTAATATGGGATCACATTAGCAAATATTAAAACTTCAATAATTCAGATTAAGTGGAGAATATCAGTAGATTTATAGACTATAGGCTGAATTTCACTACCTGGTTTAATCAAGTTCTGACAATGACAATAATGCTTTGCTAAGCTGATTATAAAAACTTTTTAAAATTAAATTCAGCACTTCCTGTAGGAATAAATTTATAAAAGCAGTATTGAGGTTTATATACTCTATAGTACTAAAATGCTAAGACTAGAGTGTGGATCTAAGGAATTGGTAGAGTATTTTCTAGGACTGAAAAGCTTGCTGCTATGTGGGAGAAGAAAAGAACTTGAGGGGATGTGATCCTATTCCTTGATATCTCCAGTGCCAGGTACAAAATAATGCTCAATAGATGTTTGCTGAATGAATAATGGAGATTATAAAAACTAAGTAAAACCTGAACAGACTCATAACAAGAGCAGATGGTAGAATGGCAAATATGGGTGATCTTGCTGGTCTGGAGAGGCAGATGAAGAGTGTGCTAGGCAAAAGGAAGAATGGATCAAGTTCTAACCTTATATTATACTCTTTATACACTACAGTTAATGTTAATCTAAGTAACAGCAAAAACTGGAATGAATCGTGTTTCAAAATCTTAATTTTTTACTAAGAATTCTTAAGATATTTACGAAAATAATGCGTTGCCTGGGAAAAACACAAAACAGATAAAAAGGAGTAAGTTAACAAGAATAACAAAAACCAAACTGTTTTAATTTTTAGGGGTTTCTGCATCCTACAATGAACACAAAGTGAAGTAGGACCATATTACCATAATTTGTATTCTGATATGTTCATGTGTTTAGAGTTGTCAACTGCATAGAGGGATGTTATTATATGTTGAGCAACAAATCACCTTTCTGGAAAATTTTGCTAAAATGTATTCATTTTAGCTGAAAGAAAATAAGCAGTAGACGAGTTTCCCTAAATATATATCCACTATGAGCTTGGAATGCTCAGAGGAAACTTGAACAATCCAAGTCCTTTGAAGGTTATTCTTCTTCTACATCTTGTACTCTTTACTTTGCCACATTAGAATGGCAATGCCCATTCTTAATGGTTTACTGAGAGTCCACAATGTCTGTTTGAGATGCTGGTAGAAAAGCTAAGCAGCTATGAAATGAATGAGTGGGAATCTATGCATTTTTTTCATAAAATAAATTATATCAGAGGGTAAAAGAAGAAATACTAGAGGTCTGCAAAGGGGAGAAGGATGATGCCTTCAGTTACTGGTTGAATAAAGAAAGATGAGAAAGGACTAAAAAGCAGCTAATTAACTCAAAACAATACTGAATGTTTTTACGTTAATTACTAAAGGTAACACTGTATCTCTTCCGTAAAGTATTACATCTTTTTGGTTAATACACCTGAGAGAAAAATGGCTTTGGGTAAAACGTACAAGAAACCTGTAAAATAACCAGGAATGTGACTTTCAAGAAAGAACAGTCCCCTAAGTTCATATGCACAGAAAGGTCCATTACTTATTTATAACTAAACTAATTATAACTAATTAAAAAATTATTTGTAACAGCACACAAACCCTCATCTGAAACTTTTGGGGCCAAATGTGTTTTAGAATTCTAAATTTTTATTTTTTTTGGATGCATTATGTAAAGCCCCCAGTGGGGTCTGAGACTGCACCCTATAAGCAAACACATTAATATTTCTCCAGCACAACTTACAAAAAAAACCCCCAAAAACAAAAAACTTACGAACACTCACACCTAATGAGATAAAGACCATCTATACCCTTCCATTAGTTCTGGTCAGGTTTGGCTGCCAAGTTAGATGTGGTGCCAAACTTATTGAAAACTTTCGATTTTCATAGCTTTCTGAATTAAGATAAGGGGTTGTGGACCTGTACCACAATATCTGAAGATAAATTTACTGTTAAACTTGTTACAAGCTTTTAAACTTAAAATAAAAAAGACAGTACCAAGTGTGTAGAGAATTTAAACATGTTTTATTGTCAGAGAATGTCATTTGATTAAACTCCCCATCTCATTACATAGCTCCCACAAAATCTTTACAAAAAAACCTGGCCCCTTGGAGAAGCGTAAAGTTACTGAAGGAGAAAACATATCACATTCCAAATCTGCATGTTTTTTAAATTAAGACTTATCGTGCGTAGTGGACTTTAAAGCAATTCGTGGAAGGATTTTTCTCATCACATCTTACATAATATCACCCACAATACAGAAAAGGCTTATACTATTCAACCACTAGGATCAGTAAAACTGACAGCTTACAGAAAACCACTTAAATATGCCATTTAGCAGTCAGGGCCCCGGGTCCAGGTAAAGTAAAGGACAAAAATCACGTTCTACCTAAGGCGGGTGGTCCGTAGCCATCCAGGCTGTGGTCACTAGACCAAGAACAGCGTCCCAACTACAGAAAAGGAGACTCCAGCTCCCAGCAGCCCCCGCGCGGAGGCGGGGCGGTGGTTTGCCAGGCCCCGGACGCGGAGGCCTGAGCTCGCGGAGGATGGCGGGAACTGGAAGAGCGCCCGTCCGCAGTCCTCCCTCATACCCTTGCCCCCGCGACCCGGCCCCTTCTCAAGCCCTCTGCACGGTACCTGTCCCCAGGACTCTCTGTTCTCTTTCCCGCTGCAGCAGGGGCGGTACTACCGGGTCTCAGATGGCAGCGCGGGGGCGACGACCCCGGGGCTGGGGATGAGGGGAAACCTGGCCTAGCGGGCATGCAGCGCCTTGTCATGTCGGCGCCGCTGGCGACGGCGGCATGTGCTGTGGCTGGAGAAGTTGGGTGCGTGGTTGCCGTCTTGCCGCTGGGACTCGGGGAGGCTGTCGGAGCAGAGGTGGGCGGCACCCCCTTCTCTCTTCATGGCGGTTCTCTCTCTTCGGAAGTGACTCCGGTGTGAGCGGGAAGGAACCTGAGGACCAACAGGGGGCGGGTCTTACTTGAAGCGTCGCGTTCTGATTGGCCTGTACGGCGGCCATTCCTGTTGTAGCGCAATAGAAAGCCGCAGCCTCTCAGGAGAAGGCGGGGTTTCGGTGAGGGGGAGGAGAGAAGGAAAAGTGTCCCCCGTCACGTGCACAGGGACGGCCCGGAGGGCGCGGCTTGCGCGCCCAGGGCTCAGGGCCCCAGCCGCTCCACAGCATGTGGGATCCTCCCGGACCGGGGGGCACGAACCCGTGTCCCCTGCATCGGCAGGGGGGGGGGGGGGGGGGCAGGCGCGGGCAGCAGAGCGCGCTGCGGCAGCTGGCGACACCCATCTTGAAGAGGGCGAGGGGCGAGTCAAACCCCGAGCTCGGTAGCTGACCTCAATGAAGATGGCCAACAGTTGGGCTTCCAGTGTCACACAGTTGTGCCTCAGAAATCCCCAGCTGTTCATTACATCGTCTCTTTAACATCTTAGGCCAAAGTGCCCTGATGCTGTCACCATTTCCTCGGTAGTCTGCACAGCCCAATCTGAAGACATGTTCATTCTGTGAGGGTTCTTGCTAAGTGCTGGGGGTGGCTCCTTTTTCTCTTTTAAAGAAGGAAAAAAACCTCATTGAAATAAAGACTGTTTTTATTCCACAAACGCATTTTGTTTCTCAGTTGCTGAAATGAGTTATCCATAAAACCTCTGCAGCCAGATTCCTGGGAAATTTCTGAAAGGAACATAGGCTCAGCTTTCAATTACCCGTGTTAAGTGTGGAGAGCATAGGTTAGTGAAAACTGCCAGCAGCCTCCAATCCTCCTTTGCAAAGGGCTTG